AGCGGCTGAGGGAATTGGGGCTGTTTAGCCTGGAGAAGAGGAGGCTGAGGGGAGACCTGATTACAGCCTACAAATACTTGAGAAGGGATGGCGGGGAGGTGGGGGAAGGGCTCTTTACATTAGTGATGGATGATAGGACAAGAGGAAATGGGTATAAGCTTAGTCAGGGGAGATTCAGGTTGGATGTTAGAAAGAATTTCTTCTCTGAAAGGGTTGTCAGCCACGAATAGGGAGGTGGTGGAGTCCCCATCCCTGGATGTGTTTAAGAATAGGGTGGATGATCTACTTAGCGATATGGTTTAATGGGAGATTAGGGACGGTTGGACTCGATGATCTCTAAGGTCTTTTCCAACCTAGAAAATCTATGAAATCTATGATGTGTTTGCTAGCTTGCTATGGATTTCTGGCTTGATTTTTATTTGTTGCAGGCAAAATTTTAACAGAACAAACAGTCCAGGTTTCCAGAAGAAGGTGCAGTTTGGAAATGAAAATACAAAACTAGAACTGAGGAAAGTTCCCCCGGAACTTAACAATATCAGCAAACTTAACGAGCACTTCAGTAAGTTTGGAAACTTAGTCAACTTGCAGGTAAGAGGCACCAAAGAGAAGACAGTATGCTTTGTCTTAATGGTAGAGGTAGTTGCTGACAGGAAAATGCCAGTTGTTTTTTAACTGGTTCACTGAAACTGTTCTCATTATTTTCCTAATTTGTTTCTCAAACATGATCTCATTGTTTTTGAAGAATTGTCGATGAAGAAGCAGCAATGAAATATTCTAGTCATCTTTTATATTTTGAACAAATGTTTTCCTCCCAGATAAGATTTTTAAGATACATTGTTTAAAACATTGAAAATTGATTGGAAGTGGTTTTCTTTCACCCCTTTTCTCAAATTTGGATCTGATATCATAAAGCCTCTATGCTTTTGAAGATAAATGGTGAATGCAGAAAACCTGTATTTCTCTTCTAGTAAGCGATCCCTGTCGTATAGTCGCTTTCTAGTCCTGTAGTAGTGATGGTTTATCCCTTACAATTTTTCATAACGTTTATGAACAGACATAAGCAAACAATTTGAGAAAGATACAAGAGAGATGCAAAGAATGAAGGCCGAACTTAGGTTGATGTTACATGTTGCAGGCTGTATGTGTAATGTCCTAATTTCATATCCAGTTTCTAAGCTACTGTGTGATGTTTCGTGTTTCATTATCAACAACAGGTTTCAGATGCTAGCTAGTGTTTTTATGTATACTTCCTTGTTTGCACTGAGAGATTGAATGAAGAGGTGTAATAGAATATTTTTGTGTGTACTGATAACAGTACAGAATAAATCTCCCGTGCCTGTCTGAACACTGAGGGAATTTAAATCTTTCTTAATTGCACTTAAATATTTCTTGAGCCTTTCCGTAGTTTACCTAAAAATATGAGTGTATTAGCAGGCAGTATGATTCAGTAAGGCAAGTAAAATTGTGTGTAGATGTGTACAGAGAGACAGTCAGATATGCAGATAGATATTGCAAGCTGTGCTCTCCTTCCAAAGGGTATAATTTTGTTCTTTGAAGGTGTCTAAAATAGCATGTTAGTGTTCAAAGGAGGAAGATGAAAATGAACTTTGCTGTCTAGCTTTGATACTAGATACGATGTTTATTAACTGACCCCTGTAGTTTTGTAGCAATTTTTTTTACTTTACCGATGCTTCCTCTAGTCTTTCAAACAGTTACTCATGTTTTAGTTTTTGGGTTTTTTAACTATTCTTAAAGTTTATTAGCTTAATCTTAAGGTTGCTTCTTTCACGAGGCTTTTCAAACAGAATCCTGAACAGGAAGTATTTATCTGCTGATCAATATTGAGTTTAAATTGTAAGCTTCTGAACCTTGAAACTACTAGTGATTTTATGATAATTGAGACATGAATGAAAATCCTACATGCAGTAAGTTTTGTTCTTCTGTTTTAAATCTTAGGTTGCATATCAAGGTGATCCAGAAGGTGCCCTTATTCAGTTTGCCACGCACGAGGAAGCAAAGAAAGCTATATCAAGTACAGAAGCAGTATTAAATAATCGTTTTATTAAAGTTTATTGGCATCGAGAAGGCAGTGCACCACAAATCCAAGCCACCCCGCAGAAGGTAGAGGATTTAAGTCTATTCTATCTAGAATGTTACGTAAAATACAATCTTTTAAACATTTTTAAAGAATGTTTCTAGAAAGTGTTCTAAGTCCTTTTGAAATAATGAATAAATAAATACTTCATGTAATTCTTTTCCAAAAGTTACTCTTTAATTGTAGATTCTTTGAACTCAGATACAAGGTTGTGGAGTTGATAGCAAGATAAAACTGGAGGTGTTTAAAGAAAGCCCTTCTGTGACTTATGGAGAATTCTACTCTGTTGTCATCTCAGGTGAAGGAAGAGAGGATACTACGGTCTGCTGAATAACATGTAGTTTGCTTTAACTAGCATAGGGTTTTTTTTCTTCTGGTGAGCATAAGAAAGCAAGCAGAGTTACATTTCTTTTCTTGGAAGATAATCTCCATTTTCTTCCAAAACCTGCTGTTTTTTCCAGTCTTTTCCTTTTTCCTTTCCTGTTGGGCATGCATACTGCTATAGAAAAGTAGCATTTGAATTTGTTTACACAAAGATAGCAATATGTATATATAGATAGATATACGTATATACTTAGATAGAAAGGACACGCAAACAACAGTGCAAGAGGAGAGCTGCATCAGAGAGACTAATTTAGTGGGGATCAGTCAAGGATGGAGATTTACATGGAGAGGGAGATGCTGATCTCCCTGGTATCCAGTGGCAGGACAGCAGGCAAATGGTTCAAAGCTGCAGTAGGGTAGGTTCAGACTTGACACTAGGAAGCATTTCTTTACAGAGAGGGTGGTCAGACACTGGAACAGGCTTCCTAGGGAGATGGTCAATGCCCCAAGCCTGTCAGTGTTTAAGACGCATTTGGACAATGGCCCTAGGAGTATGCTTTAACTTCTGATTAGCCCTGAAGTGATCAGGTGGTTTGACTAGATGATCACTGTAGGTCCTTTCTAACTGAAATACTGTTCTATTCGAATTCTGTTGTATTCAAATTCTGTGCTATTAGAATTCTATTCTAATTCTGTTCTGCATTTTTGGTTTGAATTGCACAGTGGAGCACCTATTGGTAGTTGTTAGGTGCATAGTAGCATTGGCAACTTTTTAAGAATGTGAAACAGCAGTTACTGTTGTGGAGCTTAGATTTGTAACCTTTGGCAAGGCAAGTCAGATTTGTTAGCAGGTGTACTGGTTCTACTCACACATAAGGGGGAGCTTGGATTCTCCCAGTTAGTGTAGGTTATTATATAGAATCATAGAATGGTTTGGGTTGGAAGGGACCTCAAAGATCATCTAGTTCCAACCCCCCTGCCATGGGCAGGGAAACCCTCCACTACACCAGGTTGCCCAAAGCCTCATCCAACCTGGCCTTGCCAGCTTATCAGCTCCTGGTGTAGCAAGTCCTTATAAATACTTGTATATTCTGCTTTTTTGAATTTGCTGTCAGGGTGGGATGACACATTCTACACTTACAAAATATGAGGCAGGCATTATAGAAGAAATAGTCGCTTATTTATATACACTGATATAATGAACAAATGAGTTGTTAGAAAATGCTTTCAATTGCTGCTCTAAGTTTTGAATTCCTTCTTTCTGTGGATGGTGTATGTCATCATCATTCAGAACCAATGACCCAGCTTTCCATAGCAATCCTGCTTTGGGGCATTTTAGGTAACAGTTTCCTATCTCTCCTTTTGTAACAAATGTCCCACTTTTTATCTGCAGAAACGCATTTTTAATGACACCTATCTTGCTGTGTCCCCAATTATCATGCTTTAGATTTGAGTTTGGATTCAGATTTATAAATGTACTTGATGTTTGGCTCAGCTAGTGCTACTCGAAATGGTATTTTCTCAGCTTGATTTACATCTGATCAGCCAGAAGAGGGCAGTGGAGTATGTCATTTGCATTCATACAATCCTTACCTCTCTTGAGAAGGACAGCTTGAATAATTACTGACATCAGCTTATTTGCTGATTATGCTATCCAGCTTGGAGTATTAACTGTGTATTTCCAAACAAATATCTGATCTGTATATTTGTTATTTTGCAAAGCATCAGTTTTCAATAACGTTACTTTTTTAGTGATGTTACTAGCTTCCCAGCACACCACCTTTGGCAAGTTAACTGTGAACGTTGGGGCATGAATTGCCCTTGGTACCAGGTGACAGTATTAATGGTTCCTGCTTCACAAAGGACAGCCTTTCATCATGTGTCAGGAAACTCCAATTTGAAGTCTGTTATGGGCAGTAGGGGGTGCACAGTGACAAAAAATTAAACAGGAAATGAAATTTTTAAGTACTATGCTTTCATCTTCCTCTACACCAAAATATAACAATTATCAAATTATTGAGTTAGTAAACAGATACTTTTAATTTGTAAGCCTTTCAGGACATGAATATTTAATTTTATTTTAATTGAAATTAATATTTGGTGTCATATGTACAAGTAGTATGGAAACTCTTTTCTTATAATACTATTAAGTATTTGAATTTTTGTCAAGTTTTCTGGTGTATTAATTAATTACAGTTGAATTAATTTCGCTTGTACTTATAAAGGTTTCCAATCAGATTTTTTCTGTCGGGCACTAAAGACAGGCTTTTGAATTTTCTCCATGTAAAATCAGTTGGCTTTTAAGTTGTCCCTTTGGTAGTGTCTGGTCTTGCACAATTTCTTGACCATTGCAGTTTCCTCAGCAGGATTACTTTTGAAGATTCTTACTGTGGAAATTCTGAAAGGAGTGGAAGTACTTAGTAAAGATGGTGAGAGTTAGCCATCATAAATCATCAAATAAAAGACTTCTGCCAAGAAGCAGAAATAATGCGCTCTCCACATCTGTGGTAGATAAAGCAAGAAATACTGGACTTAAAAGGCAGCACAGGAGAGTTAGGTTGGATATTAAGAAGCATTTTCTAATGCTAAAGGATGCTGAAGCACTTTTGCCTAGAGAGGTGTTAGGATCTCTGTCATTGGAAATCTGTAAGAACTAGATAGATAGATAGATACTGTCAGTAATGGCTTAGATATAGTTGACTTTGCCCTGGAGTGGAGGAATGGATTAGGTGATCTCCTGAGGGTCATAAATATGACAGGAAGGTTGCTTGGAACCATATTTTTTTGGTCTCAAGTATTTAATGTTTTTGTCAAAGAAAAGAAGGCAATATGTTAGCTGTCAGAGCATACCCATAGTAAGCTGAGAGATTAGCTGCTCTGTTTTCTTTTTCCTCAGTCGCATGACTACATGTCTCCTTATCCTTGTTTCTTTTTCTATTTTGTCCAAGTTAAACACACAGGACATGAAAAGCGACGTATCACTGTAAAAAGTGAGGGTCTTTGATACAAGTTTGTATTCTGCCTTTCCGTAACTAAGTGGTTGATGATGAAAGATTTGTGAAAGGAATCAGAAGACTGCTTGTTACTTTTTGTTCAGTTCTAACAGGTGGAAATTAAGATAGTCTAATCAGACATGATTAATAGAAACAGACCAGAGTTGTTTGATCGCTTCTGTGAGCTGCAAGTGCAAAATAGGTTATTGCAGTATGCACTACACAAATAGTCAGTATAACATCCTAAATCTCATGAAGTGTTTGTTTTTGCCATCAGGTGAAAAAGCTATTGAACGATAGAAAGGAAGAAGTGTAAATCTAAATGCCATTGCAGCAATTTCATTATATATTTGTTGAACTACATATATGTAGCAGCCTTTTGTTGTTAATATGTGCTTTTTTTGGGGTGGGGCGATGTTGTAGGTAATACAACCCTTAGTTCAGCAACCTAGTTTACCGGTAGTGAAACAATCAGTCAAGGAGCGACTGGGTCCAGTACCTGCAAGTAATATTGAACCTGCAGAAGCACAGAGTGCCAATACAGAAGTCACTCAGGTATGTATGATAAGTCAAAAATTCATTTTTCTTTCTGTAAAAGGTTCCATAGTGTATGAATGTATCCATAATAGTTACTCATATAGTGCAAGTACACATTTACTACTTGCGAGTGCATCTAATTTGATTGAGAATAGTGTTTTGATATTAAAGTTTTCCTCAGTGCAGTGATATTTGGCTTTCTTACCCAAGCATGGTACTTAATTTTTTAGTATCATAGCTTTTTACTTAGTTTAAAAAAAAAAAAACACAAAAGACCCTGAAAATATTTCAATAATGTTGTGTTAAATTGCAGTTTTCAGATTTCAGAATAAAGTTGGTTTCTATCCAAAGAACTAAAAGCTATCCTTTTTTTTAATATTATATCTGTTAAACAGCTAAAACCATTAGACTGATGGTCAGCATCTGAAAGTGTTTTCAGTATTTGTACATCACTCTTAATACAAGGAAAAATATAACTACAGTACCAGTATGAATGGTGACAGAATCTGGCGTGTTACTCCCATTAGAAATAGTCTTTAAATTTTTATCATGTTAGAAGTATGTCATTATTAGCATTATGCCACTACTTCAGTTTTGCTTCTGAAAAGGAAGACCACCACGCTTCAGAAAACATTTGTAGTTTAATTTCAAACAACGTTCTGCAACTGATGCCTGCAAATACCAGGTTATAAACCACAAAAATTGAAGTGTTTTTAAAAGGGCCTGTGTAGATAATCATCTGCCAACTTAGCAGGTCATGGACTTCTTGCAAAGTATTTGAAGTATAATCTTTGATTCCAAATTTGACTTTATCTGTCTTCTACAGCCTATTTATAGATGTACATTAACTGTAAAATCAAATATCTAAAATTCATTTTATCCGCTGCTTTAGTATTATTTTTCTGGTGCTGTTGCTCAAAAGTCTATGGTTTTATTAGTTAAATATGTTTTTTTCTGAATTCCTGACATTTGGAATTACACAGGAAACAGTAAAATATTCATAAAGTAAAATATGTTTGAACTATAATTTTGTTTTGTTTACTTAGAATGTGACTAAATTATCTGTGAAGGATCGGCTAGGTTTTGTGTCAAAGCCAGTTACTCCAACAACTGAAAAGGTAAGATGATGTCTCGTGTTCTCTTCCTCTCACATTTAATTTCAGTAGAATTGATTTTATTATAAAACCCCTTGTGTCAATATTAAGTTTGTTTCATAACTATGAATAAAGTTATTTGTTAAAAGTTAATTTTATGGAGTATAATACATCGAAACTCAGCTTAGCAGATGGCTGAATGATTATAAGAATAATGCTAGGACAGAAGCTGCTATTCTGTGTTTTTTTGTTTTAATAGAGTAGATTCCATTTATTCAGTCATGAAAACAACTAGATATATTCCAGGATCCTGAGTTGTTAGAAGAATACAGAAATAAATACTGAAAGCAAATAAATTTTGACACTATATATGAATACATGGAAAGCCTTTCTATAAAAACTTTTTTGGGCTTTTTTGTCATTTGAAAGGTGGTGCTGTAAACCTTTATCCTCTTATTTGATCTTACAATTCGCAATACTTGTGAAAAGATAACAGTGTAATTTAATCAGTATAGAAAGGACAAAGAGAGATAGGGTGGGAAGGGTGCATCCAAATGATGGTTATGAGTTGTGTATTTTTCCCAGTGGTTGCAATTTTCAGAACACAAAGTTGTTGATATATTTACTTCAGTAGCAAAGTTCATGATGAATGATTCCAGATCTACTTAGCACCTTAGGGGACAGGCTTCCACAGTGTTTAGAGCATTCACTTGAGAAGACTTTTGGCAGAAAGGCAGCAAGTTTTACTTGGTAACAAGACTCTTCTGCCTAGGTATATGTCTTTTCTATTGGGAATTGGCTTAACCTGAAATGAATGAAGCATCCACTACATTCCCTGCCCTTCTCCCCACCCCCTGCCTTATAGTATGGCAGTTAATGCATTTAGTGAAATTAAACAAGTAAAATTTACTCTAAAGATACTATGCTGTACTTAGCATACACAGGTTACAGTACTTAATGTTGAGTTTTAATTGTAGAGGATATCTCTGACTCGTTTCAAGCCAAGTTGTCCACCTGAATGCACTGATCTTGACTTCTTGCCTGTATTTTGTTGTTGATTTGATTAGCTGAATTCTTATTACCCTAAATTAGTTGCAGATAAATATCTCACTGTGTATTCCTGAAATACATTTTACATGCATGCTATATACTTGCTTTAGAAATAGGAAGTCTGCTTCAGTTTGAGTGGAAATACGTTTTTCTCATTCTGTAAGAGTTGAGTTATCCTGAAACACTTTTCTACAAAGAGTGAATTCATGCTAAAATGCTTTTCTGCTGTGTTGTCTTATAGTACAGACTGATTTTGATTAGTTGCTGGGCTGTTCAGTGGACTAGTTGTGAAGCAGCCATTTCCTTTGGCATTTTCAGTAGGGTTCTGAAACTTGATTTGACCTGTTTTTACCTACTACTGACCCTTTACAAGGAAATACCTTGCTTAGCTTGCAGTGACTATGCTTTATAATCATTAGAAATTAAAAGATTGACAACTGTCAAAAAACCATAGGCGTCATGTCCTATATGTTTTTTTGCTTCTGACTGAGTGCAGGGTTTATCAAGAACTTTACAGTAAGAAAGTAGGTAGCTATGCTTCCTAAAGAGCAGGAGGAAAAGGAGATGAAACAGTCATCGTGAAGCCTTTGAGATCTGTATAGGGATTTGCAATTTATGAACCTGTGAAGAGATTCACAGTATTCCTTCCCTTGAATAGTATTAAGAGATTTAGAAGACATTTATGTATTGCTTCTTGCTCTTCTGTGTGATTAGTTGATGTAGGTACATCTGCTGGGGCATCTCTCCTTGTGTTAAGAGATGCGGAAGCGTGGTTCACTCTGCCATGAAGACAATCCAGGGCAAAAGGAGTGTGTCAATATTTTTCTCTTGGTCCTCTGTTGGTGATGTAGCCTGTCCTAAAGCTACTTTGTAATAGGAGCTATATGATTGGGATGGGCATACATTAATGTGCTTTAAGTTAAAAAAACCTCCTTCATCTCCTTTTTAGTGGCCTGCTTAGAGCATTTTATATCACCTTTTATAACACCCCTTAACATGCTTTTCTTTTTTTTTGTTCTCCTCTCTGCACTGTTACTCTAGAAAATAATGTACTGTGTGAAGAAATAGCATAAATAGCACAATGAAGTGAAAAGCTTTTATATGAAGTGTTGCTGTTGTAAATTCCTCTGATCTCTTGATCTTTTCTGTCTTTCTAATGTTTCTTGGCTGTCTCTTTTTTTTCTGCTGTTGGTGGGCATTGTGTCTATTTTATGGAGTGCATGGTGACCAATAGACTCTGCATGCATCTTTTTAATTTTCCACATATATAAAGTATTTTTAAACTCCGGGAAATTATACCATTTGCATAATTGCTGTGATTTGCTAAGAAGACGGACAAGATCATGCCTATATTATCTCCAGCAGTTAGCCATGGATTTTTCAAAAGTAACATGGCCAAAATGTCCTTTAAGGAACGTGATAAGAAAACAGAACAGTCCAAATATTCAGGTATTGTGAAGATGTGCCTAGTATACTTGAGAGGTTGTAAAGCAGACAACTATGTTCTCAGTAAGTCACAGAGAAACTTTCATTCCTCATTACAAACGTAGTCTTTCCAGCATAGATCTAACTTTAAACAGTGAGACATAGGAGTCTCTTCCTTTGCTGTACGATGTTGAAGACTTTCCTGTACTTGAGTTACTTCTTGTTGATTTTGCAAGCCCTACTTTGCACAAACTGCATATGAAAAGGAACTGTTGTATCTACTTTGGACCTTGCTCTTTAAAGTTATGTTTAATTTTTACTTGGAAAATTCATGCAGCTATGAAAAATTGTATTTTAAACTTCAAAACAAAACCCCAAAACTTCAGTTATTCTTGAAAAAAAATCTCAGTCTTTGGTTTCCTTAATTATGCTCAAATACATAAAATTTTGTGTATTTGAAACTTGGAAATACGTATGAAATCTCAATGGAAAGGATTTATGATCTGATGTTTTTAATTCTTATATATGTGATGCTCCCTCTCTAAAAATTGTTTAGCTTCAGCAACTCCAAAGATAATTATTACACCAAATTTTTATATTCCAAATCATCAAAACAGGCAAAAGAAAAGACGCTTATATATTTTTAAGCACTCATGTTTTTTTTTAAACAATTGAAATTCACTGGCAAAAAAATAAAATCATTTCCTCCTATAGGTTTTATCCACTTCTACTGGCTTGACAAAAACTGTGTACAACCCTGCTGCTTTGAAGGCAGCACAGAAATCTTTGCCTGTTGTTTCCACTTCCGTGCTAGACTCTAATGAAGCACAGAAGAAAAAACAGGTAAATTAAATATGCTTCTTTATGAAATGGACCTAGATTGGGAACTTGTGACCACTAGAGATAGTGCACCAGGTGTATTCATCTCAAGAGCATAGATCAGACTAGTGATAAGATTACATTCACTATAATGATTTCTTTTCAAAGAACAAGAAAACTCAGCATTGTTTTATTATTTTTTTTTCAGTGTATATTCAGACAGTGTAAGCAGGTATAAAACTCTCTAGAAGTTCAAAATGTGAAACACTTTTTCCTGGAAGCAGAATCCCTATGTTGAGGCATGAATTGTTAGTTGTGAGTGAGAAGGGAGTGTAGTATATTCACTATTCTTATTTCTTAAGTCTGTTCTCTTTAAACTGGCCTTTATTCTCAATGTGTTTTTACTTGTGATCAAAATCGTTTCTTCACTTGAGAGAACTGTATGAATCTGCATTGTATTGTTTCCAAACTATAGTTCTTCTACATCCATTTTTATTTTTTTGCATAGTACTAGGTTTTCTCTGTTTTTTTTTTTTGGATGTGAGAGAGGAAATGCCACAAAAACGCATTTGGCCTTGAATAGGTGACTTGTAGTTTAGCTTGCTTAGAATTTTCAAAAGAGGCCAGTAAAGTTCCTTTTTGAGGTTTATTCGTATCATTTAGAAAAACTAAATAAAGGACAACATTTGTCATACTTTTTTCAAACCATAAATTAAAAGATTCAAAGATAAGTATTGAAAGCATTATAACCATTAAACAAAGATTTTAGCCTGTTGGTAAATGTCTGTAACTAATGTCTAGTATAATTTGAAGTAGCAGTTTGTAGCTGCATGTCAGTTGTGGCATTGGTCCAGACTTTAAAGAAACACGTCTAATTTTGGGATTTCATTTCACATTTGTTCCCTAAACCATGTTTTTCGGAATTAGAGCCTTTACCTTTCAAGTTAAGATGCTAAGTGCCTGTGAAATGGCAAAAAGCTCGTAATAAAATTATTGACTCGTCGTAACAGCTATAGAGGAGTTTTTGAAAGGAGGCATTGAAGATGTGCTAGATGATTGACTCTATTTTCATGTGCTTTTGTGCTCTTTCTTCTCTTCAGAGATTTGTTACAATATACTAGTACTTGTGGAAAAACATGATTTTGTGGGACTCACTCCCTTCTCCTTCTTTCCTCCTGTCTCCCTAGTTTTTCTTAGCATTCATTCCCTTGTCTTATCTTCCCTTTCCCTTCAGAAAAATGATTGCACACTGTATTGCAAAACTAACGTTTTATGCAGCAGAATTTGTCAGCATTTAGGAAGACATACAGAAACCTTATTAGTATTTCTTTTTTATGGCCGTTGTGCATTTACACTCTTTGTGTAAGATAGTCCACTTGCTGTCTGATCACAGTTGATTGGTGATCTAGAAAGTGCAAAATCATCTTCTGCTTCTCCTCTTTTATCCCATTAAATATGTTGGTATCAAAGCTCTTAATTGTTTTCTGCAAGTATCTTGCTATCCCAGACTTCTACGTTCTGTATCTGAGAGCAAGAAGCAATTGCTTTCTCTCAAGCAGCATTAGTAGGAGCTAAACACAACAGCTGTGGCATCTCCTGCTTCTCCTTCTGAGTGCAATATGTCACAGATTTATCAGTTTCAATTCATTTTGATTTGCCCTTTGTGACGTAAAGATTCTGTTTTTAGCAGATTGAGTGGTAGTACTTGTCATTTCCAAGTTATAGTAGTCAGGCACAAGAGAGAGAGTTTTCCTTGAGTAACATTTTAATTTTAGAAAATAGAACGTGTTTCCTTTTTGCTTGTAACTGTAGTGGAGAATGTGTTTTAATTGATAAACTTGATTTACGGTTGCTTTCAAGGTACTGTCCTTGCACATTTAAACTTTTGTATGTTGTACCTCTTGCAGTAGTGTATTATATTGCTTTCAGTGAAGTTGTGTAAGGGGTTACTTTGTATGTAAGTAATAAAGAAGCCTTCCTAGCACAGATCTAACTGAAAAAAAAATCATTAGATCCTTTGCTAATTTGGTGATGCATTGTTTTCCAAAACGTAATTTGAAATACTGCCGATGAGTACCTCGAGTTTCTGTTAATAACTTTTCCCCTGTTATTGTAAGTTAGTACTGTATAGTTGTCAGATATAGCATATTATTCTTCTGGCATTATTTTTTCAAAATCTAGAAACTTTCTGCATTTTTTTTATGCTTCTAGGAAGCATTGCGACTTCAACAAGATGTGAGAAAAAAGAAGCAAGAAATCTTAGAGAAGCACATTGAAACACAAAAGGTAAAATGTTTGCGTTAAAGTCAGCAATTCAGTTGTAAAATCTCAGTTCACTTCTCTAAAATATTTCAGAATTTGTAAGCATGAGCTACAAAACTGGCCCATAAAATAAGTATTGTCTTAGAATGGTATTATAACATTGTTTTAAGCTGAGAGTCTTAGTCTAATGTAGCTGGTTAGTTCACTGAAAAAGGTACAAGCTTAGGCAATTTAGGTGCAATTTTAGTTAAAAGTTGCCTGATTTGGGTGCAACATGCCTATGTTTTTTGGGAGAAGTGAAAGCCTGAGAGTTCTACTTGACAAGAGCAGGAGAGATTGCTATAGAAAAGTAAGCATGACTGCACTTAGACTTAGGAGGAGAAAAAGGCTAAAATGTCATTTTAAGTTGAATAACAGTTTTGAAAATTTAAGTATGTTGAGCAAATCTATCCAAATTAATTAAATTGAGATATTAGATGTTCATAAGCAAATGAATTAAGCAGAGATTCAAACAAACAATTTAATATAAACTGTTAAAAGCCCTGTATGTTGAGTTTGAAGATCACAGCAAAAGAAATGCAATATTCTGTCTTTCCACTAGTTGTAATGAGTACTGGAAAACAGATCTGTAATAGTAGTTGCTAAGTAAAAAGATTTTTTTTTTTTTAAATTGGACAGATGTTGATTTCAAAGCTGGAGAAGAATAAAGCCATGAAGTCAGAAGACAAAGCAGAAATCATGAAAACACTGGAGATTTTGACTAATAGCATTACCAAGTTAAAGGATGAATTAAAAGGTGCATCACCAGGAGGAGGGACTCCTTTAAAAAGCATGAAAACTAAAACTCAGGTACTCAAGTTTTGGTCAGCTTTTTAATACGATGAATTCACATGCCACATCAGCAGTGTTTAGAACCATACTGGTTTAATTTTGAAGTCTTCTTTGAAGATGTCAAAAAGACATCAAAAATCTTATGATTATTTTGCTTTATCCAATCTTTTGTGTATAGTCTATTGCTTTCTTAAATTTTTAATAGAAATCATGAAAATAGTATTTCTTATGCAAAAGGATTATCATTATGCAACACAGATATTTTCTGGACAGGAAACTGCTTCCTGAAACTAGTTGACTTCTGTACTGGAGCATAATTTATGGGGGTTTTTATGTCACACAAATTTTTAAATATATTAAGCTCTTTAGATTGAAGATTATACTGGTCAGTTTTCCTTTGATCTATCTACCAAGGTTTGGGTTGTACCTGTGAGAGGAGTTTCCCTCCTCTGCTATCATTCTTGTTAATATATGGCTATAACTAGTTTCTCAGCTGCTTGAAGATGCAATTATGTTACCTTTTTAAAATACAGTGTCGTGCTTTTTGTAGAAGTTTTTGTTCCTAAACAGGTCATAGGGTGATTAAGAGTTAAGTGAGACTTTGAGAAATAACTTTTAAGAAATTAAGATGTTCTTTTAAATACATTACAAACTTTTCTTGCTTTATCAAGTGAGGAAGTGCATGCTAGTAAAAGAGCAGATTTTTGTACAGTGTATTTTCCAGTAGAAGGCAGAAAGTCTTGAGCTTTTCTTGCTGTTTTCATTCAGTTCTTAAATCTTCAGAATGCTTAAATCTTGTCTTCTAATGTTTGGGATTCTGTTTTAAAAAGCTGATGTAACACTACAACTCAGATTTAATTTAAATGGATCATTAGTTTTTCATTTTGAAATAGTGTTTCTACTGCTTCGTTTTACACAGAAATATAGTCGTTAAAAGTAAATTACAGTGATGTACAGTTTTGAAAATAAATATCAAATACTGAAATGACCTGTATGTACTCACTGTAGCTCTTACGTTATTCGTCAGTCAGGAAAAAGTTCAAGCCGCGTATTTTTATTCTGAAAATGGACATAGATTATGATTTCTGGGAGTCAGTGTGTACTTCCTAAAACAACTTCAATTGCAGTGGAATACTCTACTGTATTTTAGAGGGGGAGCTAGCAGTAATTGGAAAAAAAAAAAAATCCCAGAATTCAGACACTGCTATAATAAGATTAAATTCCTCTTTTTTTTGGAGATGAGAGAAGAGAAATTTTTCTAACGTTTTTGAAAGAGAGTGGATGTGTTTTGGTAAGAAAACATTTGTGAGAGGTCTGAAGGAAGCTACCTACCTACAGAGTGAATTTGAACTATAAAAGTCTTTGAAATTGGCAAAATTTTCAAAGCTGCATTTGATAAAGCCTCATGTTTTTGAGAAATATTCTTCTGCGAGTGGTGTATAGTGCTTCATAAATTTGAATAGGAAGAACAGTTTTTAACAGGTTTGATTCAAGAATAACGGTTGGTTGTGGGTTTCTTCACATGCAAGGGAAAAAATCCAGACCCATAGAAATGATGCAGCAAGTTCCATCATGAAAACTTGGTAAATCCTTGACTAGAAAATTTTAACTGCAGGATTTTAATCCATGACAGTTATTTTGCCCTGAGAGTGGTCCAGTAAATTCTTAAAGCAGACGAGAAAATAGTCCAATAACACAAAATTGCTCAAAACGGTTGAGACTGGAAGGGATTTCTGGGATCATCTCATTCCGTCACCAGGCGCCACTAAGAAGAGTCTGGTTGTTGTCTTTTCTCACCCACACTGAGTATTTATACACGTGAATAGGGTCCCATCCCCTGCCACCTTCTCATCCTGAAGTCAAACAATCCCAGCTCTGTCAGCCTCTGCTCGTATAGTAGATGCTCTAGTCCCATAATCACCTTTGTGGCTTTTTGCTGGACACTCTCCAGTATGTCCGTCTTGTGCTGGGGCGCCTGGAGCTGGAGACAGCTCTCCATATGTGGCCTCACCATTGCAGAGTAGAGGAGGAGGATCACCTGCCTTGACCTGCTGATGGTGCTTCCTAATGCAGCCCAGGAGGCCGTCGGCCTTCTTTGTCACAAGGACACATTGCTGGCTCATGTTCCACTTCTCTGCTACCAGAATGCCTCAGGTCATCTTCATCTGGACAGCCCCCACCCTGTACTGGTGGCTGGGGTTTTTCTTCCTCAGGTGCAGAACTTGGCATTTCCCTTTGTTGAAATGCAGGAGATTCCTCCTGCTACTTTTCTCCAGAATGTCAAGATCCTTCTGAATGGAAACGCAACCAGCCGATGTAGCAGCCACTCCTCTGAGTTTTGCATGGTCCACAGACTTGCTGAGGACATGCTCAGTCTTACCATCCAGGTCATCTATATAGATGTTAAACCGTGTTCACTGCTGAGTTACACCACTAGTGACTGGTATCCAGCTGGGTGTTCTGCCATTGATCAGAACCCTTTGAACCCAGCAGTTCAGCCAGTTTTCAGTCAAACTCACTGTCTGCCTGTCTAGTCAGCTCTTCATCCTTTTGGCTGAGAGGATGTTGTGGGTGACAGTATTGAAAGGCTTACTGAAGTGAAGATAAACAACTTCCATTGCTCTACTCTTGTCCACCAAGCCAGTCATCTCATTGTAGACAGTAGTTAGGTCAAGCATGATTTCTCCTTCCTTTTCCCCAGTCACTTTTTTGCTCTTAATATGCTTGGAAATGTTTTCCAAGATTATTTGCTCCTTCATCCTCCCAGGGATTGTGGTGAAGCTGACCAACATGTAGTTCCTCAGATCTCCTTGCCCTTCTTGAAGTCCAGAGTGATGTTTGCTTCTTCTCAGTCCCAAGGAACCTCTGCCAAATGCCATGACCTTTCAAACATAATTGAGATTGGCTTTGCAATGACATCAGCGAACTCTGTCAGTACTTACGATTGCATCCTGTTGGGTCCTAGGTATTTGTATATGTCCGGTTTGTTTAAATGTTTCCAAACTTGATTCTCTTCCAACAAAGGTAAGTCTTCCTTTCTCCAGGCTTTTTCACTGGTCTCAGGATCTGGGATTCCAGTAAAGACTAAGGAGTAGGAGGTATTGAGTATCTTGACTGTTCCTGTGTCTTTTGTTGCCAGGTCCCCTTTCACATTCAGCAGTCGGCCCACAGTTTTCACAGCATAGTATTCCTCTTGGTGCTGATAGACCTGCAGAAGCTTTTCTTCTTTTCCTCACCCCCCATGCCAGATTCAGTTTGAGGTGGGCTTTGACTTTCCAAACCAGTGCCAGCATGCTCAGACAGTTTCTTTGTATTCCTTCTGTGATCTGACCCTGCTTCCACCTCTTGTACACCGTGGTTTTGGATTTAAGTTTTGTTAGGAGCTCCTAGTTCATCCAGGTAGGCCTCCTGCCAACTTTATTTCCTGCACGCTCTGAAGTTTGGAGAATGCAGTTCTTGAAAATCATCCTGCCTTTCCAGCAGATATCCAGGCCCAGGGTCTTCAAACAGGAGGCTTCTTCCAGTTTTCTGTAGGCGGCCTTATCTACTTGTCTTACTTGATTAGGCAGAGTGTAGTACACAGCCACTGCAGCGCCACCCTCATTGGTCTGCCATCTTAGTCCTGACTCACAGACTTTCGACTGGGTCATTCATCTGTCCCCAGGCAGAGGTCCATGCAGTCATTCTGCACTATCACATAACAGGCAACTCTTATGCCTCACCATCCTGGCTCATCCTTCTGTAAGAGACTGTATCCATCCACTGCGGCATGTCAGTCGTGAGTTTTCTGATGATGGTTCTGTAGTCTCAGTGAAATTGTAGTGCTGTAACTGTGTGCAGACATCTAATTCCTCCTCTTGGTTTCACGTGTTGCGTGTATTCATGTACAGGCTCTTCAGAGAGGCTCTGATTTCCCAGGAAAAAAGTGAGGTCTTCCCCTGTGATACTGTTCTGTAGGCCCTCCCTCATTTATGTGGATTGATATGTGTGTGCTTGAGGTGGTCCCACTTCACTCCAGTTTTGTTGATCTTGAGATCTCTTCTGTCCACATTGCCCATCGCTGGGCAACCTGGCTTGCCACTTCCTTGTGTGATTGTTGTTTTTACTTAGTAAAGCGAGGTGATACGCTCATTTGATTCACAGTTTTATTAAAGTTTTTGAGCTGGTTTTCCATTTTCTTTGTAACGTGGAAAGTGAAGAAACATTTTAAGCAAACCCATTTCATAACGGTCAAAATAGCCAAACCACAGAAAAGTTGATTTTATGGATGTCTTTCCTCATGGAGATTGTGCGTTATCTGTGAGCATTGTTTTGTTAACATTTGAAAGAGAGAAAGCGATCAGTCCCATCTGACCTTTGTGAAAGTGAGGAATTAACAGAGCCTTCAGTTAAAATGCACAACTTTGACAATTTTCTGAAAGACTTTGCTCTAGGTTCTCGTGCATTTTCTTCGCATTTAAAACCTGAGCAGCTCAGAAGACCGTATAAACTTGAAGACAAGGCCCATGTGACTGTGCCGTTATCTTTACCTGTTTTTATCCTCTTCCAGTTCATGCAGATTACAAAATACTCTTCCTCCCTCAGTGTGGAAGCCTTTGCCGCCTCTCGATGTATCTTGAAGGAGGTATTTTCTTCTTGAAACCTGGCACAGCTCTATAAAAGAGAAGTCTTCATTAAAAGCACTAGAGATAAACCTCAAAAGTCCAGAGGCTTTCTTTAGGAAACCAGTGTCACTGTCTGCTTTGTGAGTTCTAACTGCTGGTCATTATTGAACTTAAGAAGTGGTTGTTTCGCCATGTCCTTGATGTGTTGCAACACAGTGGGATTTGAGAGAAATACTATTTCTGATTTTGAAAACTTTGAAAGCCACTGTACAGGAGATAATAGATTTTTTTTCTGTGGTTGGTGTAGATAATCAGAAAATGGGGCTGAAAGGAATTCAGGTTAAAGTTGCCAGTTGAATAATCCAGCTTTTTTTCTTTTAAAGCTTCCAGGAAAAAACAAAGAAACAAAAAAAACCCCTTCTTTATCATTCAGTGGTGATACTTGGTTTCCAACTGTCACAACTGCGAAACCTTCATCTCTTGACAACCAGCCTTTGAATACATTACATGCTGTGGTTTTGAATCAACGACTGTAAATGTAAAACTGTTTCACAATCATCTATAATTTTTTCCTTCATTTGTGATGTCACTGGAACGTTTGGCTGCTGCTTTTTCCATTTAATTAAAAAAAAAGCAAGCTTCGAATTTGGAACAGAACTTCAAATAAAATTTTCATGGTCACATAAAGCCTTTTCTTGCACCTGTACCAGCACCTGCACCTCACTGGTTGCAATGAACATGTCTAAATCTGGGTTCAGAGACACCTTTTAGTTTCATTTATATTTTTGAACTTTCTAATAATTTTTTTAAGGTACTGTGTGCTGGAAAGCAACTCCAGGTGCATCAGAGACCAACCTTTCACCTTGTTACTCTGTTTTTTTTCTGCTGTGGTCTAAGCAGAACTACCATTTGTGCTTTTTGCATTGTGGAATTGTGACAAACTTAGATGCATTTTCTCATTACTGATTACAGATTTTGTATTAATTTATAATTACAATGCATATTTTTTTTTAGAATCCCTTTTTATCTCATCATCACTATCATTTAATTTTGCATTTTCTATTTTGTGTATCTCTAGTTCAGAAAAATTTACATTTGCTTTGGCTTTGTGTGGTAGTCTAAAAGGTTTAACCTCACCAAACTCAAACATGCTACTACACATTAAAGTTTTATTTTGCCAAGAATGCTTCTAAGTTTGTGCTTGGTTTGTTTCTGAGGGTGGAAACCTAGCGTAGTAAGCAGTATGCCTGCAAAGTTACAGATGAATTAATAAGCCGCAACTTAGTTAAGCTTAAAATTCCACTACAGCTTCTAGTTTTCAAATTCCTTAGAGTTTGTAGGAATCTGTTTTCCAGGTAGAGGTGCTGTGTCAGTCTACCTTACCTGGAGGCCAGTGCTGGCCAATGCTTAAGTCACTGTGAATTTCAGAAATAACCTGCTGATAGGAGCACAGCAATAGATTCTTGAGTTTTGTTGGAAAATTGTTTCCTCAGTAGAGAACGTGAGCTGTGGAACTAACAGTTTACCGTAACAATTTCTTAGATGCAGAAAGAGTTACTAGATACTGAACTGGATTTATACAAGAAGATGCAAGCTGGGGAGGAAGTTACTGAATTAAGACGAAAATATACAGAGCTACAGCTGGAAGTATGTTTGTCTCTTCTTTTGTAGCAATTAACTCTTAATCAAATATTTTCTTTCACGTTTATTGGCTTGTGTATTGTATCATAAACTATTTTTTCTGAAGTACAATATTAAGTTGCATGTAGATGGAGGCATTTAGCAATGATATTTAAAAAAAAAAACAGTTTCTGAATTCCACTGAGGTAGAGAAATAGCATTGTCTTTAATTTTGATTGCTAATCTATTTAAATTCTGTAACTGTTTATATTACTGAAATAGCATTGTCTTTAATTTTGATTGCTAATCTATTTAAATTCTGTAACTGTTTAAATGACATTATATTTTATGGATTTGTGGTAGTAATACTTTCTTGAGAGCATGGAGTGTTTTTAAATTATTGCCTTTAGGTGGTGTTGTGTTTGATACAGAAGAGTTAAACACTGCTTGGTCTTTTATCTTAAGTGTTAGCATTCTCTTAATGAGATTAACCAAAAAGGCTGAAGTGCCAAAAGTAGTATTACTACAGCATTGGTTTCAAGAGAAGGACTTACCAAGAGCAAGTACCACATTTCAAAAGTGTTTAATGTATAGAGATGTGCTTTTTTCTTAAAGTACTCACTTTTAAAAAAATTCAGAAAGCTCTGCAAGATTCTTCTTCTCTGTGTCTTTGAGGAAATTCTGAATGCTGTGGGTGTCGTTCTGTGTTATATTGCACTGTCTTGCCTATATGATTGCATAATACCTACTTAATTGCATGATAACCTTATCTCTTTTTACTGTTAAGCAGGCTACTGTGTCGCTTAAATCCCTATTTCTTAATGCAGTGTGCTCATGTCTGATGTATAACTACGTATGAACACAGTGCACATACGTACGACGAAGTCGCATTCAAATCTTACTTCAAAACTAAGTTGTTGTGCAGCTTTGATAGTTGGGAAAACAGGTTTCTGTTAATAAGCCAAGCCAATTGAGTAGAGATGATGTAAAAGCTTATGTTAACAATATATATTCTGATGGTGAATAGCATTTCATAGATGGACTGAAAGTTCATTTAGAAATCATACATTTTAGAAAATATGTGAATTGAATGATCTGTAAAACCAGCAGTAGAAAAGTAGGCGCTTGTTCAAGAGAAAGTTACACTGTAGTTGAGTGTGGTAATCCTGCTCCATCTCTCATTGAGTCTGTATTTTGAGCCTGGAAAAAAAAAATCATAGCTCACTCAGGAAAATTTTTTTTTCTAGTAAAATGAGTATTCTGAGGCCTTTAGCAAGTAGTGATCAAAGTAGATGGAGAAACCCAGAGCTATCAGTAAAGCACACCAATATGTTTCAAGGAACAGCATGAAATGTATCCCTGGTATAATTCACAAGAGGGATATGTTTCTTTTTCCCCCTTGATTGTTCAGTATTCTTAAAAATCCTTTAGAAAAACTTTTATTCACATATTTTCTTTACGACTTTAACTCCCACGATGTTCATGTGTTGCTTCTGTGGCTCATAACCTGCTGTTCTGTTCCAGGTGGCTCTGATTTTACTGTGAGAAAAAACAGTGTACAGCTTGATTGTTGAGTCAGCATTATCTTTAACTTTCTGGATTATTCATTTAACCATTTGAAAATGTTATAAGATAACAAACCAAAAAAAGCCTGCAAGATTCTCCTCATAAAAAAAATAAAAAGTGAACTATGTATTATTGTAGAATTATCTGAATAATTTAATGAATAAAGCCATAACAGATTGATCAACTCATGGGTGATATCGCTGGCATGCATTCAAGTAGTGCTGTCAATGCTTGAGTTGTACGCACTGTAATGTTATGTTAAAAACATTGTTACAGTGATTTCTTGTAACATTTGATTCCTACATCAGATCTATTTGGATTTGAAAAGGTTGGGTTTTTTTATAAACGTTGAAATTAAATCCTTGAAAGTGCTTTTTTGAAACTTGTATTAACTTTTGCAGATTATTTTTTAAATGGCTGTTAAAGGTATCGCCTTTTGACTTTTCTTGGAGAGTGCATGCCAGTTTTTTAGAAGGGGTATACAGGTATGGTGGGAATGGAAATTAGTGAGTATGCAGAGCCAAATTTTTAGTGAATACTTTGGCCTTGGAGGTGCTTGTTAGAGCCTCTGTTTCATACCTCACAGTTCTGTGGCCAGAAGCTATTCACTGCATTCATTCTGGTCAGAATAAAAGTCCTGGTTGGATTTTCAGAGACAAATTAAGAGACAAATTAAGTAATTAGTCACACCATCAAGAAAATGTGTTTATGAAATTTCAAATGTTGTACTGCAGTTCCTTCCTCTTATGAGGAATTATCCTCACAGATAAGGGCTCTTTTGATACCTGTTTTTAATACCTTGTTCTTTTTCCCTGTTTCCATCTTGGGGGGTTTGATCTGTTAATAGTTAACAGTATTTGCTTTTTAATGTTATTAACATATTCACTTTTTGTTATTTTAAAACCTGTAAGCTGCTTTTTCTGAGTCTTGTTTGGGGATGTGTTTTTAGGAAACATCAGAATATGTGTGTGTTAATTTTGTCTTAAATATTTAGATTATGAATTTTAATACATCAATATGTTATGTATAAACACCTTAGGCTGCCAAACGAGGGATTCTTTCTTCAGTTCGTGGTAGAGGGGTTCATGCAAGAGGTCGGGGTGCATCACGTAGCAGAGGTAGAGGAATACGAGGCCGGGGTAGAGGCAGAGGAGTTCCTGTGCATGCAGTTGTGGATCATCGACCTAGGGCATTAGAGATCTCTGCATTTACAGAAAGTGATAGAGAAGATCTTCTTCCTCATTTTGCGGTATGTGGCAATTTCACTTTTTCTGTTTTTTGGATGATGTTCTTATATTGAATGACTTGTTTTCTTTTGAGTCAATTCATCTGGAAATATTATTTAGGAATGGATCTTTAACATGATATGCCTGTTCATGGAGAAATAGGATACATCAGAAAAAGGTGAAACAAAGAGAAATTGACACCATTGATTCAACTAGTTGTAACTGTAACCACATAGCATTTACAAAGCTGTTTTTTTTTCTTAAAAAGAAAGGAAATTTGGAATATAAAGTAGTGACTTATTTATTTTTTTCAGGATATGTGTAACATTGTTAAAAATTTTTAGGTATAGAAAGATAAAATAACTGAAGAGATTATGAGAATACAGGCTGATTCAGTGCCAAACTTTCAGTACCTGAAATCTGTTTATCTTTATTGAAGTATCTTAACAAATGCTTAATGAAAATTTTCTTATACTTTAATTTTATTGCAGGGAGTATTAAACTTACTATCTTTAACAAACCAAAATATTGAGAAAAAAAAACCCTTAGTAACATCAACAAATAAATTCTATTCACAGTGTTAGTAGTATAACACTGAGAAAAAATGTTAATTATTTCATTTTGCAGGTTGTGCGTTTGCTGTTTTAAATTTCCTCCAAATTTCATGGAAGTGCACTGAGCTGTATTTCTGTTTCTGTGCACTCCACCTGCACAGATATGTTGGGCATTGCAGCTTACAGTGATGGCAGCATTAAAGGTAGCAATACCATAGAGACCATTACAGGAATAGATGGGTCAGATTCTTAAGATGTTGAAATCAAGTTAAGTTTTGAAGCTTTTTCTACAGTTCCTGCATCTAATAAATCTTTTTGTGGAAGAGTTTCATAATAGACTAATGAAATCATCTCAAGATCCCGTCTTTCTGATCAAAAGAGAAGTATTGAAGCAGAAGAACCTCTTTCTGTCATAATTTTACTTCATACTTGTATGCTTACAATCAGGAAATCCAGAGACTACAGCATTTTAGTGTTTTAGAAATGCAAGTAAAAGTAACTATATTCCTTGCAAAGACAGGTACTGTGTTTGGCAATTAAGGCTGTGAAAGGTACGCTGTTTTAATTGGATATGATTTTTGAGGGCATTTGATTTAGGACAGCATTTTTAGAAGTGGAGAACTATTTCCCTAAGCTTTTTTTTATTTATTAAAAGCAATATGGTGAAATTGAAGATTGCCAGATAGATGACTCTTCTCTCCATGCGGTGATTACCTTTAAGACAAGAGCAGAAGCTGAAGCTGTGAGTATAGTCTTTGTTGAAAACACTCTGCAACGTTCAACTACGTTTTAGTTATGTTATACTTCTATATTTGATTAAATTTAATACTGCTAATTATTTAGAAACATTTTAAAAGAAGTCCAACACAAAAGTTTAATTCTAGATTAAACAAAATTGTCAGCAACACAAAAGTTTAATCCTAGATTAAACAAAATTGTCAGAACAGTGTATTACTGAAATCCTTGAGAAATGAGGGCGTTTATAGTAAACTCAAGTACAGGATATAAGAGAGGAATTAAGAGAAATACTTGGAAACTGATAGCTTGATGTCTTGGTTTTTCTTTATTTAATTGCCAGTTGTTTTCACCTGAAGACTTGGTACCCTTACAGTCTTCCTGAAATTTCACTGACATCCTGCAAAGTGAGCCTGTATATTTTGTTTGAGATCAGTTGGATTTACCTTTGCCTGAAAACCTGTGATAGTGTAAATGTGATTTGATGTAATGGGATTTGCTTTTTTTATTCTTTTTATCGTATTTCTTAGAAATTCAGGAAATTACAGAAGTATACAATTATAGAAGTAACTGTTAGAGACTTAAAATCCAGAGTTGAGGTATGTTGTAATTTAGCATCCTTACATGTGGATCATGAGGAATTTATACATTTGGCTCAGCGGGACTCCTGCTGTATTCAGTTCGTGGTGTAGGCAGTATGTGAACCTTTGCAAAATAATGAACATAGTTGTTCTGCAAATGATTTTGTTTTCCTTAAAATCCTTGCATCACTGTTGGGAAGGAATATCCTGAAAATAATAGGGACTCCAGAAAAAATGGATTCATATTTACGGTATGGTTGTATGGAAAGTTTTAATTTTATATTTATATTTTGCACAAAGTTTCTGGTTCATCTCGTGGAGTTTACTTGAACACAATATTCATACCTGGCCCGAATCTTCTCTTTTTTTATGCTTTATCTTGAGACATCAGTGACCTGACTGACAGAAATACTGGTATTTACAATGCACATTAGGCCAATGGGGACAATAGTTTTGAATGCCTACAGTATCTTTATGGTTAAATATTTTGAGAAACAATTTGATGCATGTGTCAAAGATGTTTTATGGAACCATAGAAATTTTGTTGGTGAAACTCTTAGGTATAGCAATGATGAGCACTAACTGTACAGAGATTGTTATTTTTCGGTAAAAAAGGAAGTGTAATTCATGGTACATAGTGCATACTGACCAACAGGGAAAAACAGTGCCGTACAACTGTATTGAAGGAACACAGTTCAACAGTGAACAAAAGTTCTGTGGGGAATAAAAAATACCTGCTTGCAGATAAAAGCTGTCATAAGTCTTATACTCACAAGTCGACTGAATTAAAATTGGAATTTTAGTTTTGGTTCTTCTTGACAATCAGTGCTTCATTTTGCAGCCTCGTATTTTTTGATATTGTAGTTTACATAAGAAATATTCCGAGTATTGAGAGAAACTTCTGCTTCCCTGAAAATAAAAATAGGTCACCTAGAACAATAATCTGTGTTTATAGACTGGCCAAATAAAGTCTTTTCTTCTCCCAGGAGGAATGTGATTCACGAAGATCTTGACAGTATCTTACTACAGATACTTGTTTATCAGCAAAATACAGTTTTTACTGTTATAACTTGTTTTGCCTAAAAATTGACGTGGAGAATCTTTTCAGCCTTAGCTAAATTTCTGTACTGAAAAAGCAGGTTTGGAACCAGACATAGAAATGTAGAGATAGGAAGCACCTGAAAAAGAAGGCAATGCAGAGAATGAAGGAAGATGTAGACAGGGGAAGAAGAATGATATGTTTGGTGGAATGGTTGAAGTCAACGTTATGTACTTCTCTTCCCCAACCCTGCTTTCTTGCCTTTTTTTGTTTGTTTGTTTATGATGCATTTCACTGCATTTGAAAAGCAGTATGTTTTTCCTCAATCACTCTAAAATAGAACAGGTGCAGTTTTCAAGCTGTATTCAAGTGAAGTTCAGAATATGCTCTGGAAAGTGAGAATTTTTTAGCTGAGTCCAAATTCACGGGCAGTGTGTGACATGTCCATGTTCTTGTCAGCACTAAAACTTCTAACTGTCGGATGACTTTGTGTCTAATTGCACCTTTATTTTTAAATTAAAATTTTATGAAAACTGTGATCAAATATTGTAAAATCTGTATTTTCCTTAAGATGTTCTTGTATATTAAATATATTTCCACTGGAATTTCTGTGTTTACTACTAAAGCAGACTTTAAGACTGGCAATTGGAGAAGTTGTAGAAGGTAATCATTAAAAACCTCTGTTGAGGCCAATTGTGAAGTAAACTCAGCTAATATTTTACCTACTTAAAGGAAAATAGGCCCAGGCTTTATGACCATACATGTTCTAGCCTGGAAGGAAGAGAAGGATTCTCTGTTGTAAAATGTTGCATTTTTATGTAGTAGTAATTTTTTTCCAAAGATTACAAGTTGTTTCTGGACCTAAATGTCACATATAAGTACTTCTAAAAATTCTAGTTGTATGACATTGTGATGAGACCATGGACAAAAAGCTCCTGAGCTGCATTTTAATAAGCGTAGAATCTTTTAAATTTATCATAAATTTATATGTACAGATTTAAAATTTATACCTGGGGACTTAAATATCACACAATTCATGTTCAGATGTCATTGAACATGTAATTGTTTCTACATTTCACATTATGCTGTGCTTTCAGATTGTACTATAAATCTTCTGTGACCATGACGGTTATTTCGGAATGTTGCTAACGCTGATTTATGCTCATTCATGTTACTTTAATTTGAACATACTATTTCCAAAGCAGCCACTTAATGCAGCTGGCGCTTAGAAAGGCATGAATATCCCATAAGTTAAAAATTTTTACATTCCAATTACAACGGCTTTACAAGAAGTGGAATGTTTTCCAGTAGAGTAAGTTGTAATCACAAAGGACTTTTTTTAGTTGTTTCGTGTTTTTTCTTTTGTGTTTGTTTTATTTTTTTTAATATATTAAATCATTTGTATTTGTGGGATATCTGTCTTATTTCTTCCAGTAAGTTCTGTATTAGCAATTTTGTGTCAGTTTTTGAAAGGTGAAGAACCCGTCAAGATAATACTAAAACCCAGGAAGGTTATGGTTCAGTATGTTACCCACATCACCAAGTGATGTATAGTTTTAAAAGCTTTTTTTTTCTGAATATGTTTTAATCATTTTCCTGAAAGAACGTGTGAATTCCATGTGCAGTGAATGAAATTGTTTTGGTTTAACCTATTAACAGTAATTCAGTATGAACATGCTACAACTAGGATTTTCTTTTGAAAAATCAGGCTGTTAGTTATTTCTTGCATGTAAGTATTGCTGAAGTTAATTTTTCCCCTGACAAGTATATAACTAAAATGTTTAAACTTCTTTTAGGCTGCAATTCATGGATCTCGTTTTAAAGGACAAGAGTTAAAGTTGGCATGGAACAAGCCTGTTGCTAGTATGTCAGCTGTCGAAACAGAAGAAGCTGAACCTGTGACAGAAGAAGTAAGCTTACTTTTTCTTTTCCTTTTTCTTTTGTAAGATGGAATCCTGTAGCTTTTTCAAAAGAAAATGATCTATTGATTCATACTTCTGTTTTTGAATCTAACTCGGGTTTTGATATCAGAAAGTGGATTTATCTATAAATACGTTTCTTGTTTTCTAGGCTGTTGAAAGTCCAGATACTTTACTTTTGCTTGCAGAAATCATAGAATCATAGGATGGTTTGGGTTGGAAGGGATCATTAAAGGTCATCTAGTCCAACCCCCTTGCACTGAGCAGGGACATCTTCAACTAGATCAGGTTGCTTAGAGCCCTGTCCAACCTGTCCTTGAATGTTTCCAGGGATGGGGCATCTACCACCTCTCTGGGCAACCTTTTCAGTGTTTCACTACCCTCATCATAAAAAATGTCTTCCTTATATCTAGTCTGAATTTGCCCTCTTTCAGCTTAAAACCATTACCCCATGTCCTGTTGCAACAGGCACTTCTAAAATGTTTGTCCCCATCTTTCTTATAAGCCCCCTTTAAGTATTCAAAGGCCAGAGTACAGTTGGCCTTCTGGGCTGTGAGCACACAGTACTGGCTCATGTCCAGTTTTTCATCTACCAGTATTCACAAGTCCTGCTCCACAGGGCTGCTCTCAATCCCTTCATCCTCCAACTTGTGCTTATAGTAGGGGTTGCCCTGACCTAGGTGCCGGACCTTGGATGTTCCTGCTTTTCTATGACTCTCCTCCTTACAAGCTCTCTGGCTTGTAAGGAGGGTGCTTTGAGGTGCTTTGGTATAAGGACTGTGGTACCTACACATTCTCACAGCGCGTAACACGATTAGATGACACTTCTGATTCAATAACATGGTTCAGCCTCATCATAGCTTCATCCTAGGTATTGTGTGGAGTCTCCCAGCTGTCAGAGATGATAATCCCATGGCCAGGAAATGTTTCATTTCTTACACAACAGAAAAATCTAGAGGATATATCTAGAAAATGGAAGGGATGGATTTGAACTTTCATGAGAGATCGAGGATTTTGTCCAAAACATAGGGTTTTCTGCCATCTACTTCAGGCACTAATTTTGTAGAGGATCAAATTTCAGAATGTAATTTTCCCTTAGAGAGAGATATGGCTTGGATGATACAGGTGAAGGAATAATTTAGAGCATTCACTAACTTCATTCAGACATCTAAAGTACCCCTGCTGAGTGTTAGTCTTCATCATGGTGAAGTCTTCACCATTATCTTCAACATGAAAGCTAATAAACCTTGTCCAAATAATCTTAATTGGTTAGCGTAGGAATGAATAGTGGGGCAACATTTCTTGATGCATTTAATTCATTACTCTCACAATATTGTTGTTTGTGAATTCTGAAAAAAAAAAAAAAAAGCCACTTGGGGTAGAAATCAAGTGATCTTTTTTCTAATTCATTTACTGTCAGTTAACTATATATAATTGCCATAGAATAGCTGAAGTAGAAGTAAAGATGTACTTTGACTTATTTGTGATAGTATTTTGTCTGTATCTTTTTCTGATGATATTTTGGCAGGCCTACCATAGAAGCAGCTTCACAAGATTGTTTCGATATAAACAAATTAGGTTATTCTTTTTACATTTTGTAGTATTCACTTGCTTTTTTTTTTTTCTGAAGAAAGCCAGTTTGTCTATTTGCTTTCTGTCTCCAAAAATGCTAATTTATTTTTAGCGTGTCAGCGAAGACAGGTAGACTACCTCCACCACGTGTATTCACATTAGGCATTTGTGTGCTGTGACTTACTAAATATTACTTTCCTTGTGTACTCAAACCTAAAGCCTTGTCAGATAGTAATGAGACAGGAGTGAACAAGAGACTACGCTGGGGAATCTTCAGAGCATCTTAGATACTTTGTCACTTCTCCTTCAGGGATGTATTGCCTGTGAAGATGAACAGCAGTATTTGTTGCAGCAAGGAGTCTACTTTATTGAGGGATCTCATTGAATAATTACTTCACTGAGACGTCTGCATTTTGCATAATGAAGGAAGGGCATGGAGGGATATGCAAACACTTCAGCAGAGTACAGGAAGGAAAGTACAGATTCATTGGTAGGTGAATTACAGTGAGGTTCATTTTTTAACCCAACTGAAGTTACTGAGTGTAGGAGGAACCTCTAGGGTATAGGTAGTGGTGGAAAGGGAGTGAAGATAGTAACAAGCAAAATAAGCTGGCTGCCCTGGCAAAGAGAAAGGACAAACTTACAAACTCTGAAAAGACCCCAGGCCCAGATGCTCGATGACAACTTGTCACCTGAGAAGTGTTTGTGGTATTGGGATACGTCTATTTTAGGTGGTGATTATTCTCCGTAACAGAGGTCATCAGGTATGGAAAGAAAACTCAGGGAAAAGACAGCATGGGACTTTTTTCTGTTATTCCTAAATCGATGGACTCATGTAAAACTTTCCAGATTTTGAAAATTTAAGTAAAAAGGGGAAGTAATCGGGTTTCTTGTTATGAAGAAATAATTTTATTATTAGAATGTTTACCTTTATCACAGATTATTTTTTCCCATATAATTTATTTTTCTAACACTTTTCTTGAGTGTTAGATTTAATTAGTTAGTTTCATTTAACTGATTTTATTTGTTTCTGAACTGTTTCTACAGTCATTGCTCAGCTAATTATGCTCATTGAAGATGTATAGGAGTTGATCTTGGATCAAAACCGCTAGGTGTTCATTGCTTTTGTATGCTTGCTGAAATCTTTGCAACACTAAATGTGTAATATAAAAATATTAGTTTACCTATATTTTTGTTAGTAGTGTTGCTGGGTTCTTACTTGACCCAGTGTTTACAGATTTTTCCACTTAACATGGTTGATGTACTTACCTCTGATCCTTTCCCATTTTCAAAACAAGTCCAATATATGTAGCTCTCCTGTGTTTTCTGTAATGAGCTTAGATTTTATTTGTATTTTCTACAACTGAATTAGTCGTCTTGACCTTCACCAAATTTCTTTAAACAGGGGATTTCTGTTCAATAATCCATTTAAATGCCATTCTTTCCTTCTTTGAGCTTTGTATTGCTTCTAGCATTTGATTAAGTTAGTATTTGAAGTACAATGTTATGATCCGCAGGTCCTGGATGGATGAGTTCAAGAACTTCATTTTCATGTGCTGAAGTTCAACCAATTGCATAAAATAAATTTTACATAGTTTTATTTTTTAAAATTTGGTATTTACACAGGATTAGATTGAGGGTTGAGTTGGTTCTTATAGTCAGCAGCCTGTATTTCAATCATGTATTCTTTATAGATGTAAAATGTCTTAAGTTTTTGCGTGCCTACAGTTCATCATGCTGCTTATTTAACTTCATTTTATAGCAGCTATTGTAAACACATGAAAAAGGTTACCTTCATTTTTCCATGTCTAAACTAACATTTTAGTTCAGCCAGGGAATGCTGTGCTAAAGAGGGGTAGCAGGCTTAAGACCTGAGTGAAACCAAGTACCTTGATGTTTGCAAAAAGAAAAACGGGAGCTAGATCATTCAGTAGAGTGACATTTTTAATAATGAAACAAGGCTTCTAGTCCGTTTATGAAAATATGAGGTAGGTCTTTTGAACTTGGATGCTATGGAAAATCCCTGGTGAGTTGCCACTTAATTATGAAAGCACCTAATCTTCCTAGATGCCTTACGTTCCATACCTGGGTGCCTAACAAGAGTTGATGCTACTGAGTCAATGACAGATGCCTAGGAAGAATATAAGACTTATAAGCAGAGATAAGCTTTTAATCATCAGTGGTTTGCAGTTCAGGACCTGTTGAGTCAGAGGTGTGGTGTCTTTGTAGTTGAAAGCCCTTAAAAGATGTTTGTTTCATGAATTTGTCTTGTTTCTTTGGAATTTATATAACATCTATGAAGTCCTGCATCAGGGAACACTACTGTCAACTAAGTCTACCAAGAATAAATAGCTTTATATTAGACCTGCCATGTGCATGTTTAATTGTGATGTCATCCTGCTCTTGCATCAAAAAGACAACCATGGTTCTCTCTTCACTTTCTCTGAGAAACTTAATATATGTGGACTCCTGTCGTACTTCCCCACAGTTACTTTGTCTCCAGGCTGGAAAATCCAAGTCCCTGTAGTTGTTCCTCTTTATGGAAGTTGTTCCAGGCTTTTTGATCATCCCTACTGCCGCTCAGCCTTGTGCACCTTAGAGTTCTGCATTGTGTGCTGCCCAGGACGACTCCTCTTTGACAGTTGTGTTTTAGCCTGTTGGACATGTAGACACCAGGGGAAGACGCTAAGTCCTCAGAAAGCTGCTCTGTTTTGTTCTGGCTCAGAGTACCCAAGCGTACATTTGACAGGTCAAGTGTCGACAGAGCTGCTTTTAAAATGCACTTTCTGTAGGCAAAAATAATGAAGACAGTAGTTTCTCCTGCTTGTAAAACAGGCTACTGGAAAGAGAGAAGGCTTAGTTCTAGGCTTTCTTCAGCCTACAGCCTCACATCTCTCCAGAAGGCTCCCTGATTTCAAAAATCAACCTTCACACCTCCTGTTGGATTTGGGAATTCTGTAGCAAAAAAACTACTGTTATTGGCACAAGACAAATAAGCAAGGAAGACCGTAACTGTTACCTAACAGCTGGGAGACTTTGCTAGGGAGTGATATCCTTGTGTTTTGGTCCTTTCTTTAGCTAGTGCATAAATTGCTGTGATAGGTGGCAGTTGGCAAAAAAGCTCTGAGGCAGGGTGTAGCTTGTGTATATATCTCTGTGTCTATATGGAGATAAAAATTAAAGCAACTCACTGTTTATCCTTGGATTTTTTTTAACTTTGCCTTTTTGAAACCTGTAACCACTGACCTGAAATGTTCATGGTTTTGTGAAGTCTGTAGAGTTACCATGTTACTGAAAGCAATTGGAAAGTACTTTAATATATTTTGTCTAAATTTCTTTAAAAACCTCTTTCCCTGCCCCAATCTTTTAAATCTTTGTACCAGTTTTTAAGTTTGTTTAAGCTGTCAGAATCAAAGTCTGAGATTCAACCTTTTTGATACTGTGGCACAGGTATAAGCGCTTGGATGAAAAAAGGCCTAAAACTAATCTTAGTTTTCAGTATAGCATCTGAAGTTTCATGGGAACATTGCAGCTTGGGCATGAATGATATGTTGAAGAATCAGAGGTGCATATGTCCTGGTCATTTTGGAGTCCACTGAAAAGAAAAAAACCCCCACGTTTCGTTTGCCATTTATTAATATATGTATATAATACAGATACATACAGCTTACTTTCTTTAAAGGATTACTGTGTGCCTATTAAAAAATAAATTTTTTCTTTATCAAATCACAGGTATCAGAGATGTATATTTCACCTTTTGATCTTTAACATTTTCTGATGTAACTATCACATTTTTCTCTTGAAGTTTCAGGAAGAATCTTTGGTGGATGACTCGCTGCTTCAAGATGATGATGAAGAGGAGGAGGATAATGAATCTCGTTCCTGGAGAAGATGATTCGACTGATTGATGACAATGCTAGAACTGCACCTGTGTTGCATTAGTATTACCTAATGTACTTCTGCATCTTTGTATTAAAAGGAGTTTTGTGATGAAGTTGGATTCGGATATAGACTAAAAAGCAGCTGGTCAGTTATACATTTTGAGAGATTGATGTTTGAGTTACATTTCAGTAAATGATTGCTAAAGACATCATACTAGGAACATATGCAATGTTTTTATTACATAGTTCTACAGAAAGTTACAGAATTCTTTGGGTTCTTTGTAATTTACCGAATTGGTCAAACACAAGTGACCAAAAGTTGTTATAACATAGATAATTTTTGTTCTATTCCAGATACGGAATGAAAATTTGCATTTAAAATCTTTGTGAATGTTTTCAGAAATGAATAGATAACAGTACTAAACTGAAGTCTCTAAAGTTATGTATTCATAATATTGCATAGTAGTATGCTTAGGCTTTACTATGTACTAGCCTTTTGTTGGATTTGTGTACGTATTTTACCTATGGGTTTTAATGATAAAGTGTATGACTGCTTTGCATATAAGTCCTTATGACTTTAAGATGTTAAAAAATAAAGAAATGGAATGGTCTTCAAAAAAAAAAAAGAAAAAAAAAAAAGCAATAACCAAAAAAGCTAAGGCAATGGTCCTTCGCAATGGAGAAAAAAAAAAAAGAAAAAAAAAAAAAAGAAAAGAAAAAAGACCGTTCCAAATGGCAACCCCACCCCCATATTCACAAAAGGAGCTCTAATCACTATCACTTATACTAAAATAATGTTGAATATTAAAAAAATCTCAACATAATGATGTTTCATTTGCATTAACACACTGGTGTACGATGTTGCGTAAAAGCTTTTGGATCTCTTCTGAATTTTAAACTCATATAAGTCAAATGGTAAATAGAATAATATTCCAACAATAAGGAATTTATTCTATGTTCCTGCACTGTGCAACTGTAGAACAACATTTGATCCCACAAAAATATGAGTACTGAAACATAAATTAGAAAAATACATTAAGTGAAGTGGAATATTTGGTAGATATCGTTTTGAAAACTTTGACTACACACACTAATGCATCTTTTTTATTCCTGTGTTTCTATGATTACATTTTTCCCTTTCAGAAGTAGCAGATACTAAATTCACATTATAGCGAATATTCATAATTTAAAAGTGTACATACATGAATTGTGAGTAGAATTCCTACTCCACAGAAATATTTAGTTGGCTCTTTCTAACGCAGCGTTCTGTTATGTGAGGTCTGAAATTTCTCCTCTTCTTAGGAAGGGGAACTGCCTAGTCCTTTGCAGTAAAGGACACCTCTCACTAGATAAAGACTCAGTTTTATTTCCATTTAATTGCATTATGTTGGTCTGCTTTCAAAAGAAAATCTGTTTATATTAATTATTAGAGTTGTGGGTTTTATTTTTTTTTTGTGTTCCCCCCCATCAGCTCATTAATGAGTGCAACATAAAACCGCTATCTCATTTATCAAATAGATGCAGGGAGTAGTACTTCAGTTAACAGTATATTTTCTTCGGTCCATGGTTTTGTCTTTCGAGGGGAAGGTAGGGGAGAACTGCTGTAACTCATGTAATTTTATTATTTTTTAAAATTCCAAAACAGAAATGGAGGAAACTAGAAGTAGTATCTCAGAGAGAAGAGCTCTGGCTCTAGAATTTTTGTTCTGTGCTTTTCAGTTATTTGAGAGATTTTTAAGACTTAGATCCTATTTTGGGTTGAGGGTTTTGGTTTGATTTTTGTTTGGTTGTTTTTTTTTTTCCCTATATCCCTGTGTGCATGCATATTTTGTTGCAAAAATATGCACTTAAAGTTTTTATATAGTCTTAGTTTCACGTTGAAACTTCACAATTGACCGCCATGCTTGTTACAGTAAGTTCTAAATCTTGCCATAAGAAACTGTATTTGGGAAATTTATTTCCTTTTACACTGAATTTCAGGCAAAATAAAACATTTTAAGAACCTTTTAATTCAGTGCTCTGAATGAGCTGTTTCTGTGTCACTGAATTAAATACAAGCTTTCCTACTTTTCTTTTTTAATAATTTAGTACATCTGAAGGGTGCCAGGTCGACAGTGCAGGAGGTGGAAGTTTTCTGTGTTTTGTCTTACAGAACAGGTTCAGCACAGGAAAAGACTATGGGTGCTGCCTTAAGGTGGTTGTGTGGCAGTGCTTTACCTGGTGCTCAGACCTGCCTTTTCACTGCAGTCAATCAACACAAGTTAACGACAACTATTGGGGTGTTCTTTACGTGGGTGCTTTTTGAGTCATCTGAAATTGCTGTATCATGTCGTTTTAAAATTAGTATTGCAAGTTTCCCTACTTGTTTTGAATCCAGCCTGGTAATACATCCATGCGAGGTTGTGTCTTCATAACTGTTTGCGCTGTGGTCTACCTGCAGAGGGAAGAAATCTTTTAAAATTCTTTTTACTGCCTTTTTCCTCCAAACTTCCATCGGTGAAAGGTGTTGGGGGGGTCATTCTTACTGGCATATGTTTTGTCCCCTGCTGTTACCTTAATGATGCTCCGAATGATTGAAAACCCCCTAGGTCAGAATGACTTGGTTTACCCTCGCTTTGAGAAACAAACCCGGATGTTTGTTTCAGTCAAAACTGATCAGTGATTTTGTGCCATTCAGAGAACGGTGTCCCAGTTGCAATCTAAATGGATTCTGTATGTATTTCTGTTATTATGAAATTACTTTCTTGATTTCTCCTTGACTTGCTCTGTCCTTGTATTCCTTGTCTAGCTGTACTCTCCCTTTTTTACCGCTACCTTTGCCAATTCTCATCATTTCAGTTCAGTCAGATCCTTATTAGTGTAGACTTCAGTGAAAAACCATTGTCACCTGCAGCAGCATCCTTCCTTGTTTCAGTCAACAAACCAAGAATCCTGCTATCATTCCCTTCTTTACTTAGTTCATCCTTCTGAATGCATTCCCAAGTATGCCTCCACTATGATTGTATTTTTTTTAACAGTTGTGCAAATGGATTTTCCTAGTCTGAAACATTGAAAGCGGAGTTACCTTGGTTTTCCCTAGACAACTTTTCAAAATTTCTGTGGAAAAAAAGGTAAACATTTAAGAAGGTGATTTCTTTTCCAGTTAGATACTAAAGGGCTTGAGTAAAGTGTGATTCGACGTGTAGTTCAATGACAATGTTGTAGTAAGCCACATTTAGTAGATTACAAAAAAAATTTAAGTAATGTGAGTCGGGAATGCAGACTATATTACAGCCTGTCTACAAAACAGTATAGTAGTAAGAATACCTCTTTGAAGCATTCCTTATGGCCAGTGCTATTTGTATTTTTTATTCTCTTAAAACTCACTTGTTTAAAATCAGAAAACCCATAGGAGAAATACGAGTTAGTTACTAGTGAAACACAAAGGTACAGGACGTCCAAGTCTAAGCAGATCTGTTTCTTCCCTTAACATTGAAAAGTGTTGATATAACTTCAGGTACTTAAAATAAGTTTTTGTTCTAAACGACACTCTGAAAACTCTCTCTGTTCCTTAACTAGAAAAGGAGTCAACAAATATTATATCCAGGTAACTTAGGTATCTGAGAGCAGTGTAGCATGATTGTACCTAATTTAAAACATCTGATTTTGTTGTTGACCATCTACTGTGAAGAGATTCCCAAACTGTCTAAGCCTACTATTCTTGTCAGCCCTTGGATAACTTTTAATAACTGTACATTTATTTGAGGATTTTTTAGGTGGAATGGATAATTTGTAATTGTCCATTGTCTCATGAGCATAAAAGAGTACCAAAAAATGCAAAAGAATTATATTTTGATTCAAGGAAGTGATTTTGGATGTTCCCTGTATTTTTTTTTAACTAATCTGTGGACTAGTAAGTCTCACCAAAAATAGATGAGGAGGCACCAGGGATTATATTTTTTTTTTTTCCCCCATCAGTCATACTCTACTGTTGTACCAATAAACAAAATAACAGAGAGGCATAGACCTTCAATGAAGCACCTCATTTACTGTAATTCAGCATTGTTTTCATGTTGCAACTAAAGAAGATATAGTCAGATTTAATCTTCTATCATTTACCTTTTATTACAATTAGGAAATTAAATTACAGTTAACAAATTTAGATTAGAACAACTGGAACAAATAGCAGAAACTAGAGGGTTTTTTTGGGGGGGGAAATAAGTGAAAATCTGAACAATTTTGATGTCATCCTATTCTGAGTAGAGCTGTTTCTTGCTGTAGTGATGTTATAGCACTTGATTATTTTCACATGAACCTGTTAAGTCAGACAAGGTAGTTGTTCTTGATCAACATTTAAAAAAGGCAAATTAATCATCTTTTTCATTTCAGCCAATTTAGCTGTAAACTGATTCTTGTTGAAAATGAGCTGTTAGTTTTTATGGATTCCTGTAGACTTTTAAAACACATTAGTGTGCTTGTAACACAGTTGTCTTAATACAGTAGCTTTATAAAATAATTATTTTCATTTTTTACTTTAATATGTCTTTGCAAGTTTTATTCTGAACCATGTTTTGAATCTGTAGACAACAAAAATACTTGCAACAAAAACAGACTTCAGTCATTTCAGTCTTTGAACCATGTTTTGAATCTGTAGACAACAAAAACAGACTTTGGTCATTTCAGTCTTGTATTTGAATTCTCTTTGGATCTAATTGGAATGCTAATGAGAGGGATTTCAAGAACATACTGCACAAGAAATTTCTCTTTTTTTTCCTAATGGATCGTTAGTTATAAGATCCTTCTATACATGTTAATGCTAAAGCTTATCTGAATGTTGGTACTTTGTTCTTTGTCCATGTGAGTGAAAATTAATTTTTTTTTTTTCTTCTTACAGTAAGCTTGTAATCCTGAGACCAGTTGATGTCTTTGAAAATCATCTCATCTGACCCTGTGGTATTTTATAATAATTTTTATGTTACAGTTTGAATTCTTGGATTCCAAGATCCTTCTTGCTTTGTTAGCACAACGGACTAATTCAATTTATCAACTTTCTCTGGCAAAGACTGGATTATCACACTCAGCAAATCTGTGCAAGTTGATGAGCTGGATTTTAGTATTTCCCTGTCAGCAACTGGGAGAAAAAAAAAATAATTTGAGGCATGTACTCTTCAGAATTCATTTTTCTGAGAAATACCTGCAGTAGATATATTTTTTGGGTGCAGAGAGGGTAAAATTGTCTTTTTACTCTTTTACGCTATTTTACTCTTCTGTGTTGCAGTTTCGTATCAGATTTTTGGATAGTAATTTGGTACGTAAATATTTTTTTAAAAAGTCAGATCTTTTTGTATCATCTAGCGTATACTTTTCTTTAAAAAGGAAGGAGGAGTGGAGCAAACTGGTATTTACAATTCCTCCTTACAAGCTATGGAGATTATTTCAAACCAGAAATATTCTGTACAGGCCTCAGCCTCAAACAGTGCAGGTGACCGTTTCCCAGTTGCTAAAGAATGACGTCTGCTTCTTGCGCTCAGTGTTCTTTTACATGCAGAGGGAAAAAGAAGCACTAACTTCTCCAAAATGTTTTCCTAATGATCTGCAGCTACACAGAAAATTCCTCAGCTCTAAGGCATGCTAACTCTTCTCTCCATACAA